TCACCGGGCAAAATCGCTGCTATGTGCAACTAAAGTTTTTTGAAAAAAAATTAGGTAATGGGTTTTAAAAATGTTTTATGGGGAGGGGGGTTTCCCGAAATCCCCGTTTGATTTCCCGGGAAGGTCGATGATTAAAAGGACAGGGGTTTTCGGGAAAAGTTTTGTGGAGTCAAAAGGTGGGGGAGGGCGTTTTGTTGGCTTTAACTGGCGGGAGCCTTGATAGAGTGGAAAGGAGGGATTACGGGTTATACTAAGGAGACGGGGCACAGGGAAGAAAAAATTAATTTTGGGTAACTACATTTTTAAAAGGGGACCCAAAAATGAGAGTAAAATAAATGGGGTGTATGGGGAGAAGTTTTTGCAAGGGGGCGGGGGACTGGGCAGGGGGTCCCCCAAAGTCACAGTTTTAAATTTGCAGTTTTCAGGCCCCCTTTTAAAAGAAATGGTTATTGTAGTGTTGTACTCAGTGTGAGCGTGGGGAGGGGGGGGGGGGCCCGGGCCCGGGTTTTTTTTTTTAGGTTACTTTGGATACAACTGTTTTTTTCCCGAAAAGGGATGTAAATAGATTTTTTGGAAGATGTGCAATTGTTTGGACAAACCACGGGGAAAAAAGGTAAACAATGGGGAAGTCAATGGTCATGGGGTTGGGGACTTGGGGGAGCGGGGGGGGGGGGGGGGGGGGTTTTTGGGGGGGGGTAGGGGTGAGATGGGAAGTTTGGGAAAAAAACGGCATGTCTTTAAAGATTTTTTGGGATAATCCTTTTCGGGACGACATGGGGTGTTCAGGGGGAGGAAAACTCGGGAAAAGGGTTTTTGGAAAAAATTGGGGGTTTTCCCCAAATTTTTGAGACCCCCGTAAAAATTATCTAACCCCGGCCCAAAGACAATTTCATAAATTAAATTTTTTCAAGGTTTGGCATTTCGCCGCTCCCCCCGGGAAAATTTTAAAAGGGCCCAAGCGGGATTGCGGGGTTTCCTTAAGGGGGCCCTTGGGGTTTGAATTTTTTTTTTGTGGGGTTCACGTTGCGACTGGTTAAGGGAAAGAGGGGGTAATGTTTTCTTTGGGGAGTCAGGGTGGGGTTTTGGTTGATGTACCAAAAAAGGAGGGCTAAAAAATGTTTTTTTCTTAAATGGGGTTTTCACGGAGGGCGTGAAGGCGGGGGCAGTTGAATAAAGGGATATGATAGGTTTTGGGGGTTGTATTTGGAAAGGGGTAGAGTTGAGGGGAAAGCGAAATTTGGGCTTGTGGTCCTTGCTGTTGGGGTTTGGGGAAATGCGAAAAATTCGAATTGGGGGTTTTGTTTAGGGTGGGTGGTGGGTAGGGGCAAACGTCCCAGTTGAAAGGTTTTTTTCCCCATATTTTTTTTAAAAGGGGAAGAGCATTTGGTAAAGATTTAGCAAGCTTTAAGTTAAAACCTAGGGGCGTTTTGAGGGGGAGTTTTGGTTTTTTGCATGGTATCCCCCGCAGGAGGGTACTAAGAACCCCAAAAGGGGAGTAAGGGGGGTGCCAAAATGTGGGGGGGAGGGGGAAATGCATTCCATTATTTATTTTTTTGAAGGGTTAGAGGGCCCGGTGCTGGGTTTAAAAGGTTTGGGACAAAAGGGTGGGGGCCGTTGGGGGGCGGGTTTTTACGTGATTTTTAAATTAGATATCCGTGGGGTTTTAAAAAAGAAATGTCAAAAGAGCTTTAGATTTTTATCATGGGAGATTATTAAAAATAATAATATATATATATATATTTTATAAAAAATATATCAAAAATTTTATAAAAATATATAAATTATATTTATATATATATTTTGTATATACTTATATTTATATATATATATATATATATTATATATAAATATATAAAATTTTATATATTTATATATATATAGAAAATTTAAATAGTATATACGTATAAAATATTTTATTATATATATATTTTATATATATATATTATTTTATTTTAAAAATTTTAAAAATTTTTTTTATATAAATATAATATATTTGGGGGTGGAGGGGGAAAAGAGGGATTAGGGGCGAAAGGGGGCGGGTTTGCCCCCAAAAAGTTTTTATCAATGATGTGTCGTAAAAAGGGAATTGTATGGGAGGGGTGGGATCAAAAGGGGTATAAGAATTCTAAAGTTTTGGGAATTTTTTTTGAATCTGTGAATTAAATATGTTTAGTGAATTTTTTTTTTTTTTTTTTTTTTGGGGGGGGGGGGGGAAAGGGGTTTCCCAAAAAAAACTGGAGGGGAGGGGGGGGGGGTCCCCGCGGGCCGGGGGCCTCCTGGGGGGGGGGGCATGGGGAGGTTTTTAATGGGGGGTAAGGACGGTTTCCTGTTTTTTCCCTAGAAGGCCCTTTTACATCTAAAACCCTTTTTGGGTTTTCATGCCACGTGAGGATGTGGAGGCCCGAGGAATCGTTTTTGTCTTTAAAAAAATATTTTCAAAGGGGAAAGTAGGGGGTAAACCTCGAAAGGGGGGTTTTTTGTTTCCCGAAATTTTTTTGGA